TGTTGGAAGATAGTCAGCGTAAAATTGAAATGTTGGAAAATGTTGTTCGCCAAAGAGAAGATGAAGTTAGGAAAAGAGTTGTTAGGCGCCTTAAAGATGATGTTGCTTCTGTATTTCAACGATATGAATGACTTAGATCTTAGATTGTGTTTACTCGTTTTGTCTTTTGGATATTTTTTTTGTTTTTAATGTTAGAAAGGCAAATTTTTTGTGGTGCATCTTCTTTTGGTTTATAAAAAAATTTGGTGCTAATACGCGGGCCATATGGCTATGTGGTTATGTGGATATTGTGGTTATGTGGATATTGTGGATATTGTGGATATTTGAATAAAAAAAAAAAAAGGCTTTTTTTTCTTTTTTTTTTTTTTTTTTTTCCTTTTTTTTTTTTCTTTTTTTTTTTGTTAGAAAAGTTTAATATCAATTTTTGATGAATTACCTGCTTTTTCTTATGAAAATAAACAAACAAAAAAAAAAGTCCGTTAGAATTAACAAACAAATAAAGTACGATGGTTACGATTTGGTTAATTATTACGTCTTCCTTATCATATTTTAAATAAACAATTACGTACGTACGAAAATCATACGTACCAAAACCATTAATAATCTGAAACATGAAAATAAAATTTATTATCGTTATTGGTTGTCTCGCATTTAATTATTATCATTGTTATTAAATTATGCGTACGTACGTATTATTATACCATAGGTTAATAATTTTAATTATATATATTAATAATTAATGTATTAATGTTTTAATTTATACGTAATTGAATAAGTGATTTGCCTTTCAGAATTAAGTTGTTTAATATTAATATTTTTTTTAATATTAATACCGATACGTATTAAATTAATTAATTTATTCTTAGTAATTATACGTCCTTATTTGGTATTAGTATAGAAGTGTATTCATAAAAAATTTATATTAAATAACTATGTATAAAATTATTTTATAATACAGTATGTAAAAAATCTTTACACGTATACAATATATACTGTATGTTAATTTTTGTACAATATATAACGTTTTTAAAAAATCAAAATATATATAGTAGCATTTGCTACGTATAATGTTTCAGATCATGGTAAATTCTGGTTATAAAATTTTTGGTCTAATTTATAATATAATTTTTATTTAAAAAAAAATATTTTTTTTATTTTATTATAATTTGTTTTGTTATTTTTTATTATTTTTTATTTGTTTTTAATTATTTTTTATGAGTATTGCTAATCTCAGGTTTAGGTTACAGATAACTCCTATAACTTTTGAGTTAGCAAAAGCTTTTCTAAGCCTCTAGTCTTAGTATTTTATAAATATAAAGTTCAAATAATATAATTTCTTTATTTTGTAAAAAAGTTTAATTGGATTTTATTAAAGATAGAAGCATGGTCTCATCTTTGAAAATAGTATTGTTATCTTAACAGGCTGTAAAATTTACAGCCTTGTATTTGACCAATCAAAATTGCAGAATTAATATGATCTGTAAATTTTTTTGTATAACAAAAACAAAGATTTTTTTATGAAAAAATCAAAAAATTATTTTAACACAAAATCTAGCTTATAAAACTGTCTTTAGTGTTATAAATAAAAAAATTTCTTGTTAAAACTTTAATCCAACTCTAACTTAAATAAAAAAAACTTTTTAAAATAAAAGTATAAATTTGTAGCTTGTTAATCATAGTAATTTTTTTTATATTTTATATTTTATTTTTTTTAAAAGGAGTAATATATTTGTAGCCATGACTACTGTAATCACATTCTATAAAAGCCAATCAAATTTAAAGATTAGGTGTAATGTAACACAATCAAGAAAATTCAAAGTAATGTTCATTTTGCCAAAATTGGCAAAAATTGGTTATAACTATACATGTTGACGAAATTATTTTAGGTTTCGGGTTACAAAATTAAAATTTGAAGACAAAATTATTTTTGACCTATTTTACTTAAAAGACGAAATTTTTTGATACTTTTTTTGAAGAGACAAAATTATAAAGAACATAACTACCTAAAT